GGTATCGTCGTTGCAATTATCCTTATTGTTTATGTCCAATGCTTTTCGTATTATCGGGAGATTATAAGCTCTCTCTTTTTTATTAAACTCATTTTCAATCGTACATTTTTTTAATAAAATATTTTACACGTAAATCCAAATTTTTCTATTTTTTTAACCATATAGTCTCTAAAAATCACTATTATAAAATTTATTCCCTCAAAAAATGACACTTAAACAAACACAAAAATTTAAAAATAAGTAAATTGATTATTTTGAATTTAAAATAATTAATTTTTAAACTTTACTCAACACGAACTATTTTTATTGTAAGAAGTATCTTTCTTAAAACCAATTAGGTTGACCAAAAGAATCCATAAGCAAGCAAACTCAATCTAACTAACTTTTGGCTTGGCTAGTGTTTGATTATTAAGTGCTTGTTTGGGATCGATGGAAAGAAATAAACGCAATAAACTCAAATGTGTTTTTAAAAGCGATATTTTTCTTATTTACAAGTAAAAAAAAAAAAGCTACTTATTTTGAAATTAAAATTTCAAATCTTACTTATCTACATATAAGCAATTTTTTGAATTTAACAAAGATTATAAATTGCTTTCATCCTATTCAACGAATAAACAACCTAATTAACATCTTACATAAGAGCTTAGTACAAATTTGACTTGATAGAATTATTCAAATTTAAAATGCTACGATATTAACTTTTAGAAAGAAAAATCAAGTCATAACATTCTGTACTTTGCAATAGCATCCTTGTGGAAACGATACTTCATTTATTATTTTATTACTGATCACAACTTGCACACGTGAGAATATAAGTAGCGGCAATATAATAGTGTGACAAACCAAATTGACGAAGTATTTCATCGACTTCTATAATCATTAATGAATGATTTGCTAGTGTATACAATACAATACTTAGAGTACTAAATAATAAAAAGAATTTAGAATTTTTATCTTGTTGTATTATTTATTTCATCTCATTAACTCGACGATCTTTCGATCATAATCATTTGCTGGACTTGTTGGCCCTTCATTGCCACTAGAATATTCTAGCTCGTTCTACCTGATCATGTCTCGCTTTGATCTGGATCATTCAGTTGCTTGTATCACATAATAGCAACTAGTTAGACTAACAAGTGAAACAAAGTCCATTTTCATACCCTTTTATTCTTATCAAAATCTAAGTTGAGCCCAATAAAATAAGTTTCGCTTGAAGAACTTGATCCCGATTTCATTGTGTTCATGCTAGTCTAAAGTGTGAAGGGAAAATTACTGAAGGAAAATGAATGATCAATATAAAGAGGCAATGTCAAAAACACTAGTCATTTATGAGTTCACACTTGAGATTCACAAACTAGTTTCACTCTTACTGTTCACATTGGATCATAGCCCAAATGAAATAGGCTCCACTCTCCATGATTAACTCTTCTAAAATCACTCCTCGCTTGATGACAAAAAAAGATTTACGAGCCCTAATCATAGGCAGCGATTTTATCGACCCAAAGTAGACTTTAGCAACGAGGAGGACGAAGAAGAACTATTTCTCAAGGCAGCCAACGTGGCGAAGGATAAGCTGCAGTTGATGTATTGAGGAAGCAGGTTGTGTCGAATTGAACCTCAATCCACTACCTCCAATCCTTGGTTTTGAAGTCTCTCTGTCTCCATCTGGATTTTTTGTCAATTAAAGAAAATATACATTAGATATTCTTGCTGACTCTAGCAATTTAGGATCACAGCTTACCACTGTTCCCATAGACCAGAATTTGAAACTTATCCCCAACTATGGTAACTTACTCTCTGATCCTAGCATATACCATAGGTTGGTCGGTCGCCTTCAATACCTCACTATTACTCGTTCAGATATCTCCTTTTTCATCAACATGTTGAGCCCATTCAAGCAAAGTCCTCGGGATCCTCATTACCGAGCCGCTCTTCATGTTCGTATGTTACCTGAATGGCACTCCAGGACATGGCCTTTTTTATTCTACACAATGCGATTTTCAGCTTATCGCACACTTCGATTCTGATTGGGCGAGTTACCACTCGTCGCTCCACCACTGTGACAGCCCAAGAATGACTAACCAAGAGAGGATGAATTGGTTTTTAAAACTTTTTCAAAAATTAGTTCTAAATTTAAACCAATATGATAGCAAATAGAACAATTAAACAAATCGGCTCAAATAAAAAAGCAAGTAAATATCAAATAGATAAATTCAAATAATAAGTGCTAATATAAAAGAGATAAGTAAAAGGGAGAGAGGATGCAAACGATATGTTATGGAGGTTGGATCCAAACAACGATCTACGTTCCCCGTTACCAAGCTCTTCGTCACGAGCAAGGCCTTTTCCACTATATTAATTGACTTATGGTGCAATCCAATCCTTTATAACGCTTTCAGCGACTTACAAACAAAGAGCGTCGATCCTTTACAACATTGAGATTTACTGGACTTCAACACGACCCACACTATTGAGCTTTACGAGACCTCAATATGACCCATATGTGACTTACAATAAGGAGCATCAATCATTACACAACGTTGAGCTTTTCGTGATCTCAACACGACCCGTAATAAAAAAAACAAGAGAAAGAAATATTACAAGTGAAAACATCTCTCTTAATAAATGATACGAACACAATTAAGTATCAAGAGAGAAGTATGTTTAACATTTCAATAAATAGTAACAAATGATAGCTCAAGTGTTGGATGAAAAACTTTGATGAATATCATAATTAAAAGTTAGATTCAATCAATCAAAGTGTTTCAATGAGAAGATTATGAAGAAATAAATGCAATGTAAATTCAAATAATTTTCTTTAAGAAATATCTCTCTTTTAATGAATAATTGTAACAAATCAAGTGCTAAGAGAGAAAAGAGAATGTTTGATAAATATAATGATTTTACAAGTTTAATTTAATCAATCAAAAGTTTTTCTATGAGAAGATTAAGATGAAATAAATACCACGTAAGTTCAAAAATATCTTCTAAAAAATATCTCTATTTTAATGAATGAATATAATAAGTTATGCACAAAGAGAGATAAGAAACCTTGATGATTATACAATATAAAGAAGTAGAGAAGTTTGTGTAATCCAAGCACAAAGAACTTCTTCAAAAATATATCTTTTCTTTAAGATAGGTATAAATAAATTAAGCACAAGGAAAGAAGAAAACTTTGATAAGAGAAATGATTCAAGAAGTTTTATTCAACAATCAAAATTTTCAATATGAAGAAGTAGAAAAGTTTATGTAATGTAAGTATAAATAACTTCTTCAATAATATATCTCTCTTTTAAAATTGATATAAATAAGTTAAGAACAAGAAGAGATGAAAAACTTTGATGAAAGAAATTGATTCATAAAATTTGATTGCAACAATCAAAATTTTTGCTATGAAGACATAAATGAAATAAGAATAAAAGTCAAGCTCAATGAAGATGTTTCAAATATATCTCACAAGAAAATTTTCTTCATTGTTATATTGATGAATAGAAGTGAAGTAGTATTTATATAAATCAAAATGGAAAGTTTTTGACCAATCGGACAACCTTACCAGACGTCCGCTATGTACCGGACGACAAAACTAGCCGTTATTGGTCAGAAGTCACAACGGCAAAAAATTTGACCGTTGGAGTACCGGACGTCCGGTTGACTGGACCATTGACTTTTTTTCTTTTTTAAGAATCATGGTCTTAGTTCAAGTATGAGTTTTTGGAAAATCAATCTTACATTTTTTTGTCAAAAGAAAAACATTTGATGCAAGTGGTAGTGAAAATAATTTTTCATGCACAAAATGATTTTTGAGCTATTGTCATTCATTACTAAAGATCAAAGTGTTAAATCTTTACATATGATCTAGGATGCATATTCTTTGATCTTACTTTGAAGTTTCTTTGACGCTTAGCTCTTGAATTTCTCGTCTTGATTTTTCTTTGATATCGGCTCGTACGCTCTTCATTTTGATCTTTCTTTGCAGGCATCTTTCAATCTCTAGTCTTGAATGATTTGACTTGAATGCTCGACCATGCTTGACTTTTATCTCGACTTTCATTGCACCTTTTGTGAAATTTCTAATAGCAATAGCAATCTTTTCATCCTTAATTGATCAATTTGTTACAATAGCTATAACCACTCAAATATAATTGCTAGTATATAAAACTAATCCTATTTGTTATAATCAAAACATTGAGAATTGAGTCAACCATAGTGACACACACTGGTTTTTTCATCACTTTACACCAATTCCATCTCTTGTCGCACAAAAAAACAAACAGTTAATTCTCGCTCCTCCATCGAAACTGAGTATCGTGCAATGGCTATAACCACATGTGAACTTGTTTGGCTCAAGTATGTTCCACACCGCAACATATCCTGATCTTTTGTGACAATGAGGTTGCTCTCCACATTACTCACAATCTTGTGTTTCCATGAGCTCACCAAGCACATTGAAATCAATTGTCATTCCGTGCATGAGAAATATCTTTTTGGACTCGTTTTCCCTACACACGTCTAACAATGTTCAATTGGTCGATATTTTCACCAAGGCACTCGGAAGGATCTTTTTCTTCATTTCACTTGTAAGTTGGGCATTATGAATCTCCACTGAAGGGTGTACTAGATATAATTGTATATTTAGGAGTATTTATTTCCTTGTTAATTATTTTGTTTTATTCTATGGTGATTTTCATTCCTACACTAGATGCATACCCATTTATACACAATTCCTTGTAATATAAAAGAGTTGTAATTTGCCTATTCAAATCAATGAAAAAGTTCTCCATGGGTTAAATTCTCCAATGGCCACCTAACTTTATACTTAATGTCTTCATGGCCACCCAATTTAAATTGTTTCACCATGATCAACCAACTTTATATTTAGTGCTACCATAGCCACCCAATTCAATTTTCTTTTACCACAACCATCCAATTTCATATAATGTTTCACTATAGCCATCCAACTTCTTTTTTCCCTCTTCACTAATTTTAAAAGGAGTAAAATGGGGGGGTGTGTGTGTATTAAATTTAAAAAAATAATAAAAATAAAAGTTCATTAAACAATTACTTTAAATTATAAATGAAATAAAATAAAAACTTATTTTAAAAAGAAAATTTTAAAAGAAAAAAATTGAAAAAAATGGTTCTTAGAAAAATAAAAAGACATTTTAAAAAATGTTCCTTAAAAAATAAAATAAAATAAAAACTTATCTTGAGAAAAAAAAAACACTTTTAGGATAAAAGAAAATTTTAGTTCAAAAAAATGTTACTTAGAAAAATAAAAAGACATTTTAAAAAATGTTCCTTAAAAAATAAAATAAAATAAAAACTTATCTTGAGAAAAAAAAAACACTTTTAGGATAAAAGAAAATTTTAGTTCAAAAAAATGTTACTTAGAAAAATAAAATAAAATGAAAACTTATTTCAAAAATAAGCATTTAAAAAAAATATTTTTGTATTTTAAAACTTATTTTAACCCTTTCAAATTTAGTGAAAATAAGTTAGGCAATGGTAAAACGTTATATGAAATTGGATGGTCATCATAAAATAAAATTGAATTGGATGGCCATGATGATACTAAGAATAAGATTGGATTGTTATTATGAAACAAAATTAAATTGAGCAGCCATGATAACACAAAATATAAAGTTGGTAGGCCATCGGTGAATTTGACCCTATTCTTCATTTGTGAAATACATTCCGTCAAATTCTAAGGGTAATCATCACATAACATCCTTATCTTTCAATTGTGAAAGATGTCACTATCTTTCATTATTTGACATTTTCACCCTTATTTCCAGCTTTTATTGCTCAAAGAGTCTATTTTACAAATTTTTCTCAATTAAAAACTGTGAAATGACGAATATACTCTTTTATTTCAATAAAACAAAAACAGAAATAAAGAACTAATTGCAATCATAGTCTCAATTTTTTTTAATTTTTTTTAAAGTTCAAATGAATCCAAATAAATTATTAAAAGTCACTCGTACATAATGTTCATATCTTTCATTATTATTGTAAAAAAGTCCATACTTTTCGTTTTTAGGCATTTTTACTCTTAATTTCACCTTTAATTGTGCAAACCATCATCTCTAACCATTTTCATCCAATTTCTCAATAAAAGTTATGAAATGATGAAAATACCCTCATGTTGTAATTTATAATAATTTATATAGGGGTCGTTTTTGCTTTTTTAATTTTTAAGTTTTTAATAATTTATTGGAACTCGTTTGCAATTTTTTTAGAGAAAAAATTAATTTCTAATTTTTTAATAATTTAGTAAATAGGTGAGTATATTCTTAGTTTTACATCTTTTTATTGAGAAATCAGATGAAATGGATAGAAATAACGGTTTGTGTAATCAAATGTATAATTAAGGGTGAAGGTGCCAAAAAATAAAATGTATCGACATTTTTCACAATAATAGTGAAAGATATGAACATTATGTCCTAATTACCCTCTTACTAATTTATTTGGGATTCGTTTGCATTTTTTTTAAAGGACTATGGCTACATTTTTTTTTTTTTTTTTTAAGTAGAAGAGTATATTCTTCACTTCACAGCTTTTAATTGAGAAAATTGATGAAAATGATCTTTTTGGGTAATAAAAGCTGAAAACAAAGGTGAAAATATGAAAGATAGTGACTTTTTCATGATAACGCTAAATGGCAAGAAGATAAAATGCTAATAACCCTAAATTGATGTTAACTTTTTTTCTTCTTCTTTTATTTTCTTTGCTTGAGTTTAAGTATGATATCAAGCGGTCTATGTTTGAGTTTTATTTGACTTCTTTAGAGAATACAAAATTGAATTCAATAAATTTCTTCTTTTCTTTTTTTTCTAGCAAATTATTCTCAAACTAGCATTTGATGATTAGTTTGATCATGAACTTTTAGAGATGTTCAATGTTTTATATTAAATTTGAACTTGCTCAAAAAGAGCCACATGGCGCCCCTTTTTTTGGACCTGTTCAAGGAGCACAGTTCTTCATTGAAAGCCCACAAAGTTGCCCAAAATACTTTCCTTGGCTCAACTTTTTATACCTTAGGGTCCATTTGATTGTAAAGATGAAATTTGGGTGGAAAAAAAACGAATTAAAGGAAATTGAATTGCCTAAAATTTGTTTTAGTGGGAATTGTCAATTAATAGTGTTTGATTTGTATAACTTTTCACCTGAAAAATGTTAAATAAAAGTGTCTTTTAGTGTTCGTTTGACTTCATTTTTCATAAAAATTGTCAATTTAAGGGATATTTATTTCTACAATTATTCCTATAATTTGCTTTCAACACCAAAAAAAATCCAAAAATCATCTATATTTTGATGTTCGTTTGACTTTGTTTTACATGAAAATTGTCAATTTAAGAGATATTCTCTTTTACAATTATTCTTAGAATTTGTTCCCATTGCCAAAAAAAAAGGTAGAAAGTCATTTCTCACCAAAACGGAAAACCAATTCTCACTGGTTTGGTGAGAATTGATTTTCCACAAAATCATGGAAAATGCAAGTGTGTGGAAAACGAATTTCATGAAAAAAATTTGCTATCAAATACACAAAATTGGTGGAAAATCGAATTTTCAGTGGAAATTGTGCCAATCAAACATGGCCTTATTTTCTTTTCTTTGATCACGTACGCCTCTTTCCTACCAATTCTCAATGTCTGGACCATGCTGCTCGTATAACCGAGGTACCAACCCCGTCACAATACGGGGTCCATGATTTTTTTATTCATCGTGGGTCTCTCTTTGTTGTGAGAGATCGGTACAACCAGGGTTGACACCCCAGTTTACAAGTATCAAAATCCATTCTCAATAGTGTCGTTTGCCTCTCTACCTCGTCTGCGCATTCGATTCTCTACTTCGTTTTAGAGAAAGCTCGTACGTTCTTTCTTGTTGACTTAAGGCATAATTTATGCTCAATGTTTAATATGAAAATTTAACAATTCTTGAAAATGAATCCTCTTGTTATTAGCATTCAATATGAATTTTGACAGATGGGTTTTTGTGGAATTCTTATGCGATCTGTTGTTGGATGAAAACCAACCAATTACAGAGCGATTTAGAGCTTTCAGTCTGCGCCTTATCGGTAGCCATCCCTCTGCCATCAATTCCTTCATCAAAGGTACCATTTGTAAATGAGATGCAGGTTTTTGATTTTTATCTTTTTTCTCTTCGATTATTACTTATTTGTTTTTAGAGTGACAAAGGTTTTATTTTATTTTCTGTTCTAGCAATGAGGGATGATTCAACCCTGTTGGCATATGAGGCCGCATATCGGTTGGGCCGGACTCGAAAATCTGATGCTATCCATGCATTAAAGGCCGTTGTAGAGGATTTTTCCTTGCATCCTATTGTTAGCGTAAAGGTATTGTGCTTTTGAATTTAGATAATGTATATTCCTCTGCTTTCACACTCTACTTATATAACAGGCTGTAGAATCTCTTGGTGCATTTGGTTTAGAGACTAGTATTCTAGTTTTGCAGACTAGTTTCCAATCGGATCCATCTCCAGAAGTTCGAGATACATGTGAAGTGGCTCTTACTCAAATTAGGGAACTAAAAAAATGCCACTCTCAATAAATTAATATATTTCGAGGGGCTCGAACCAGCTCCACCTGTCTTTCGCCCTATTCCAGAATTAAAGTTTGCAATTCTTGATCTGGAATGATAATCATAATCTGCTCTTACAAGTCTATATAATTAATTGTTTTATTCTCTTGTATGTTATTCAGGGAAGTTATACTGAATGAAGACAATAGCCTATATTAGCGTTGCTCTGCACTTTTCACACTTTGAATCCTTTATTTGTATCCAACTGGTGATAACGAGGAAGCATTCTTAGCTATCGTTGAATCTCTAGATGTAGAAAGCCCTATTCTACGGCACCATGTATGTTTTCATATTATGCTTTATTTGTTGGGATATGTCAAGTCTTTTGGATGAGTTGTTAAACTCATAGTTATTAGACTCGACCCGATTGTCGACTCGAAAAAATCATCGAGCCTCTGGTTTAATGGTTCGACCGGGGGATCAGTTGTTCAACCGGTGGGTTCTTGTTATATTGTAATTTTAATTAATTATAGTTTTCAAACAAAATAATGACAATTTTCCAAATTTAAATATATATGTATCTTCCTTACATTCTTTACCAAGGAATGTGCTTATGCCATAATGGTTAGGGGAGTGATATTACTTTCTTAAAGCCAAGGTTTGAATCCTTGCCATGCCAAATTGAAGAAAAGATTTTGCACTATACTTTGGTAACAACCAGTTCACGTTTGAACCGATCCCAGTTATCCCTTTAACTCGTCTAAACCGAATGGTTATTGAACGGTCTAACCGATTCTTGATCGGTTCACTTGTTGGCTTGACCAATTAGTGTAACCGGATTGGACCACACACACGGTGGCTTGAGCAATTAGGGGAAAGTTTTGGGTTGTGTAGAATATTTTATCACGCGAATGGAAAAAAGTGTTTTGAAACAATGATTGTCAAATAGGGCATTAGAGATCACATGCGCGTCCACACACACGGTCAAAGTAGTTTTTTAATTTTATGAAGTTGATTCTGGTTGTAACTGGAGGAATTGACTTCATTACTTGAACGTCTAATGTTTTATTGACCTATTCCTCAGATTGCTTATTACTGGCCCAATTCAGGGACAAAAAAGTTTTACATTCTCTGTCCCATGCACTTCAGAATGCCTTGGAACATCCTATGCAGAGTCGGTCCTGTGGCGAGGCCCATGAGGCCTGCGCCTCAGGCCCAAAACCCAATGGGACCCAATTCTGGCCTTTTTTTTTTAATATAGGGTTTAGGGATATACATTTTTATTCCTTTTCCTCTTGCTTCATGTGAAACCGAAATGCAACCGACCTCTAATTCTACTTCAAGATTTCGATTTAGAGTTCATAATCAAGAAATGAGGGTGATGATAAATTGATAATTCCTCAAAAGGCCACACAAGTGTAGATTGTTCTTCTAATCTTCTGTAGCTAGCAATGAAGATGTCGAGGCTGATAACTTCAATCCATGACTAGTAAGTGCTAAGGTTGATCACTTAATCTAAACTCTACTCGTAATGCATTTTGTTGCAATTTTAGTTTCTTGCAATTTGCGATTTAATTTCTTGTGATTTTGATATTTAGCAGTCAGCATCTGTGTTCGGAACTTCTGGAAGTGAAGCATGAGAAAGGAGTCGGATTTGAATTTTCAGAAGAGCATCTTTTCAGATTATTCTGCCTTTCTTGCGTAAGTTCTTGGCCGAATTAATTGTTTTTTTTATCCTAAATGGATGTTGTTATTGGATTTGCAAAATGGAAAATGGAAATTTGTTCATCAAGCTCACAAATTTTTTGGGATAGCTCTAGATGTCATTTTAATTTTGTATTGTATTGTTTCTGTTACTCTGTAATGCTGAAATTTGCATAAATAGTAAAAAATGTTATTGGATTTGCAAAATGGAAAATGAAAATGGTAATTTGTTCAACATATCTTGATCCAAGAATGTGTGTCCTGCTTGAACCTGCATCACTGTTGAAAAATTTGTATTGTTTTTGTAGTGTTCGAATTTTTATTTCAGGCTTGAAAGTTGCAACGGTGGAATACAAAGCCGATTTTCTTACTGGTTATGTTTTTCTTTATGTTTTTGAAGTTGTACCGTGAATGATTGTGTCATCTATTAATAAAATGACTAGTGAGATTCTTAAAATGTTGGCTGAAGGGCTGAAGATTCAACCAAGAAATACATTCAATAAGCTTCTTATGGATGAAGAGAGTGACTCTGTTTTCAGGCTAAATCATTACCCTCCATGCCCTGATGATCAGTTTAAGGACAGAAATTTGATTGGTTTTGGTGAATACACTGACCCACAAATCATTCCTGTTTTGAGATCTAACAACACCTTTGGTCTTCAAATCTCATTGAAAGATGTCAATCACTCCTAACCAAAATTCATTCTTCATCAATGTTGCTGACTAATTACAGGTACATGTATAACCTAACCAGTTTTAATATTCAAATTAGTTTTAACTCTTGATATTTTTATGGTGAAAAAAGTTATTGTTTGTTAACGTCAGAGTAAGACTCACAGTAGAAAACTTTTTGGAACCATAGGCATCACTGTGGAGTTTGACTAATCATTTCCCTATGAGACCGATGCTTGTTGGCTATTGAACCGAATCTTGGCTTATACTTCGACAAGAATGTTTTGGAAGTCACTGTCGGTTGATGGCTATTGTGTTTATGAAATTGCTTGATGGGCTTTCAATATTTTTCATTTTTCTTGTATTTGAAACATTGTTGGTTTTGTTATTTTATAATATAAATTTTTTATATAATATATTTGTTTGTTGTTTTAATGTTAAATTTAAGTTAGCAATATGTTGTATAATATACTGTTGAATTTTGCATTAATGTTGATTTTGAGGGTCTAATTTACGGATTTCGCCTCGAGCCCTGTTAATCACAGGACCGACCTTGATCCTATGATTTGACTTAAAGCTGTTGAAGCTTTTAATTCTATTGCACATGTCGAAGGTCTTGGTTCTACTACTTGTATGTCCTCTACCACTTGTATTTTTGACATATTCTTCTTATTCCATTTGAGGTATGCTAATCGTATTATAGTAAGCTGACCATGACAATACATTAGAATGAAAACTATTCTTTCAGCAAGACTAGTTGTCGGGATAGAAGTGATTTTTCTTAGTTTGGGTACTGAAATATACCCTCGACTCAAACCTATAAATTATTTTTTGTTTCCATTTAAATTAAATTTAGGAGTTGGTGAAAAAGTTGCGTAAAATCGATATAAAAATTTTAAGGGGATTGAAGTATTCAATTCATTTCGATTCTGAATATTAGGAAGCTGTAAGAAAGGAACTTATACCTGTCACTTGACAGAAAATCTCTCAAAAAAATTGGTAGTTCCTAGTTTTCATTCACGTTTTAAGAAGATGAACAGCACATGTTTCTAATTATGTCCAGATGTTTTTTACGTTTCGTTTTAAGCAAATATTATTTGATAATAATATATCGCAACATACGTACATCAGTTTGTATGTTGAATTAGTATAGAGTCTACCAATTACCGGGCAGTTGAGCACAAATTTTTATGGATTAGAATAGGTACAACTAAAACTGATTTCATTTTTATATAGTTCACTTGTTCTTTAATGTTATATTTTTCTTCTTTCATGCATCTTATGAATTTGTAGACTGCGAATGTATCGAGCTGCTCAAGGAATTTTCAAGGATCCTGATCCTATTGTCTCACAAAGCTGTGAAGTTGCTCTTAGGAATCTTGATTGTCTGGGAACAAACTCGTTATTTAAGGTAAATCTTGATGCAAAGATAAAAAGATTTGACTTATTTTTTCATGTCATTGCTCCTTCCTTCACAGGAAATGAGTTTATTACGCACATATATATTCCAATTCACTCTCGATTTCTTAAATGTTTGCCTTTATTATTTTGTTTTTTGTTGTGAGTTTTCAGTTTATGGTTGACACCAGAGCATTGAATACAAAGGGAATCAGCAAAGAAGACTTGGGATGATATGTCAAAGAAGAAGAAGCACTTTTGGTGTGGTTGGAGTAAAAAATTTAGAATCTATTTTTTTTTATTATCATTATTCAGCACAAGACATTCGAGTATCTCAGTTTTTTGGAATTCTTCTTTATATATACCGTTCTAGTCATGCAATTATCAAAATATCCTTGTCTCGATACCCAATGCATGTTACATATACATTTCTACACATTAGAGTATTATATTAGCCCCCGTTTGTTTCCCATTTTTTCATCATTAAAATGAAAAATATGATCGTTATCCATCACATCAAGTTATCATATTTGAAATTCTATCTCTTGTGTGTGGCCCGTAACAACTATATTTTTCATTCTCATTTTTATATAAATGGGAAACAAGCAGGAACTTAATCTTTTGTTATGATATATTTATGTGATTTCATTAGAACGCCCAATTTACTGAATTGAATCTAATGAAACTGCAGCTGCCAACTGATAATTGCAAGTCTCGGCATTGGGATCGATCTGCCCAATATATATATAGCCCAAAAGATTGTGAAGTCTCTCTTTGATCACCTTCTTCCTCGACTTTTGTTCAATGTCTCTCTTTTATTTTCATTCTCTCCTTTTTTATAGCCCAAAAAATCCAAGATCAATCGCCCGTCGATTTTCCAAAAAGTGCTTCTCTACTCTAAACTTAAAGCCCTAGAAAAATTCGCCCGTCGTTTTTGACCTCAAGGCTTGACGCTCTTCATAATCCCCTCTTTAAATCCCCATCACGTCATTCTTCATTCAAGTTTATGTTTGTCTCCTACAAGTGACAAAAACAATAAAAAAAAATCAAAAGAAAACTACCAATTGACTACAAATATATGAACAAACCTATATAAATAAGTGTATTGTTATCTCAATGTCATTGAAATTATTTATATTAAAATGAGAACAAGTAGACTCACTATTATTCTTTTAGAGATCAATGATTATTGAGAAACAATATTGATCGAAATTCTAGCCCGGAAAACTAGACACATTGATTAGTGCAATTTGTGT